ATGGGATCTCCCACTTCACTACCCCCCCATATACTCCTGAACACAACGGCACCGCCGAACGTCGTCATCGGCACATTGTTGAAACAGGCCTGTCTTTGCTTCATACTTCGGGTCTTCCACTTTCCTTCTGGTTCTATGCATTCCAAACTGCAGTGTATCTCATTAATCGCCTTCCCACACCCTTACTTCGTAACCGATCTCCGTTTGAGGTCTTGTTTCACCAGTTGCCCAATTATGTCAACTTCAAACCCTTTGGGTGTCTGTGTTAGCCCTGGCTACGTCCCTATCATACTACTAAACTTGCCCCGCGGTCTACCTCGTGTGTGTTTCTTGGATACTCTACTTCCCAATCTGCTTATAAGTGTTATGACTTCCAATCTGGGAAACTTTATCTCTCTCGTCACGTAAAATTTGTTCCCACTGTGTTTCCCTATGGTCTGTCTCATTTCCCTCCCATGGCGTCACCCTCTACCTCCCAGTCTTCGTCTCTTCCTTTTCTACCAGTCTCCACTACCCGTACTGGTAGGCGCTTTCCTTTGTCTCCTGCCCCAAGCTCCCACGTCCCTGAGGCTTCGGCCGGCAGTCCCATGTCTTCCTCATCTTCCCCGTCTACAGCACCTTCTTCCCAGTCCTCCTCCACTATGTCTTCTTCTTCCCCTGTTGTTCGTCCTCCCCGACCACTTCGTGAGAAAAAGTTGAACACCCGTTACTTTAATGACAAATTCATTAATCATGTTGCTGTTGCAGAACCTCTTACTTACATGCAGGCACGGACTGATCCCAAGTGGAGAGCGGCTATGGATGCCGAATATTTGGCCCTTATGCACAATCAGACATGGGAGCTTGTCCCTCGAGGCGCTAACCGTCCGATTCAATGCAAATGGGTTTTTCGCCTCAAGCGTAAGCCTGATGGTAGTGTGGACAGGTACAAAGCACGGTTGGTGGCTAAGGGGTTCCTTCAGCAGCCCGGTAAGGATTACTTTGACACCTTTAGTCCGGTGACCAAACCAGTTACTATTAGGGTTGTTCTTACCATTGCTTTATCTCGAGGTTGGCCATTGCGCCAACTCGATGTTAACAATGCTTTTCTCAATGGCACTTTACATGAAGAAGTTTATATGGAGCAGCCGTCTGGTTATCGGGATCCTACTCATCCTGACTATATTTGTCGACTTCGCAAGGCTTTATATGGCCTCAAACAGGCCCCCAGGGCATGGTACCTGGAACTTCTGTCCTTTTTGGTTGCCTTTGGTTTTAAAAAGTCCAGAGCTGATGCTTCCTTGTTTATTTACTCCAAGGGGTCTGTGCTTGTTTATTTCTTGGTTTATGTGGATGACATTGTACTAACAGGGAACGACTCTGGGTTTTTGGATCGCTTTGTGGTCTGTCTGTCCCACCGGTTTTCTCTAAAGGATCTTGGTCCTTTACATCATTTCTTAGGAGTGGAGGTTACTCCCGTATCGGGAGGTTTGTTTTTATCTCAGCGTCAGTATGTTCATAACATACTCCAGGAGCATAACATGGCCTCTGCAAATGCTGCTGTCACTCCTCTCAGTCCCACTGTCAAGTTGCACCTTCATGATGGCACGCCCCAGGCTGACTCGACTATGTTTCGGAAGCTTATTGGCTCTCTTCAATATCTTGCTATAACCCGTCCGGATCTGTCCTTTGCTGTGAATAAGCTGTCTCAGTATATGCATGCTCCAACTATTACGCATTGGCAAGCGGCTAAGCGAATTCTCCGTTATTTACGTGGCACTCTTGCTCATGGGTTGTTTCTTCGGGCCAATGTTCCCCTGCGTCTCACTGTCTTCTCTGATTCCGATTGGGGAGGAATTCATGATGGTGGGAAGTCTACCACTGCCTATATTGTTTATCTTGGGTCTAATCCTGTTTCATGGAAATCCACCCGACAAAAGACGGTCTCTCGCTCGTCTACGGAAGCTGAGTATCGGGCCCTTGCGCATGGAACGGCTGAGACTTTATGGCTACAACACTTACTGTCGGAGCTAGGTGTTCCTTTGCGAGGTGTGCCAGTGCTTTACTGTGATAACTTGGGTGCTACGTATGTCTGTAGGAATCCGGTGTTTCACTCCCGGATGAAGCATCTTGCGTTGGATTATTACTTTGTTCGTGATCTCGTGGCGGCTGGATTGCTGCATGTTCGGCACATACCCTCTACTGAGCAACCTGCTGATCTTCTCACAAAGGCTTTGGGTGCCCCTTTATTTACCAAGTTTCGTTCCAAGATTGGCGTCTCTGACGGATCGCCAATCTTGCGGGGGCGTATAACGGATAATTCATAACTAATATTATATACTTATATTCTTGGTATTATCTTGTATAAGTTGTTATGTTGTATATATCCCCAACTCCCTGCCTTGACTTTAGGATCTGTTAACAGCTTCTGTTTGCTATATATTTACCTTCTCTGTGATCAATGGAATTATCTCGTTCAGTCTATATTCTTCTATATTACATAGTTGATTCTTTTAATAATATCCCGATTACTCTACTTAGACCAATTCGTCTAATGCTCAAAAAATGTTCCACTTTATACTTTTAAAAAAGAACTTATGGCATTTATAATTTCTCTCTCATCTGCATTGCTTTCAACCACACAATTCTACTTTACTTAATCTTTGTGTCAATTAAAAGGTGGAACCTTTTTATGAGATAGAAGAAGTATCATTTACATAAATGGCGATGCAGTTCAAACACATCGCGTTTACTAAACAACCAGTAAAGAAATATACCATTTACAAGGGACATGTTCAAAAAGTGGAGATACATACTCTTTGCAGGCTTTCAATCGTGGGATGTGTAGACTGCGCTGGGAGGCAACTATGCTAAGCATATGGCCTTTGGAAGTACCAGGTGCAGGTTTCACTCTTTGTTACCAATCTGATCAAAGTCTAATTTACTTCCTTTTAGTGACCGTCTGGCCAGGTCTGAGAGGACCCTCGGGGTTGGGGCTCATCATTTTTTCTCAATCGTGGGATGTTGTTGACCCTCAAATCAACTTTTCATTCACGTGCAAGATTGTTGAATTTTTTGACAATTAATAGCATTAAAGTAGCCATCTTTGTACATAATCATCAACGAGAACAACTAATAGTTTTAACTGTTAATTAATTAACATATATTCTTTTAAGCAAGATAAACATTTAGATATATTATATGCCAAGAATTGTAAGATGGTGAATGAGAAATTGATTCTCAAACATTTTAGTTTTTAAATACTCTGTAGAAGAGAATAGTTGCTGCATGTGTATGCATATTTTTTTAACCAATCTTCTACGGAGTATTATTTTATGTAATGTTTAAAATCGTCTACTTTATTACCCCTCCATTCTCAAAAACACTTTCTCTTTCATTTTTTCCACTTTTAACAAAACACTTCCACTTTTTATTAAAAACCACTTTTACTCTTACTTTTTCATACCCTATCTCTCACATCATATTTTTTCTCTAATAATCTATCCATCATATCTTACTTTTACCCATCATATCAAGAGCAAAATTAGAAGCCAACTACAATTTAACACTTCCTTATTTTTACACTTTGTCAAAGTAGAAACTCTTTTTGAGAACGAAGGGAGTATGAAGTTAACTTACCAATAATCTCCAATTAAACAGGTCTTAATTTAAATACAAATCATCTTAAATAAGACTAAAATATAGAAAAAGTACCAAAATAGGACTTCCATATTTTTATTCTCGAAATAGGAGTTCGCACTGTGGTAATATGGAAGTAATGTGGCACTGTACACGTGCACATTACTACACTTTTTGGTAATGTACGTGACCATGTTTGATAATGTAAATGTATTTTAACTCCTATTTTAAGAATAAAAACATGAAAGTCATATTTTGATATATTTTCAATGTTATAATACTACTTTAGTCTTTTCCCTAATTTAAACAAAAGGAAACGAATGGGTCAAGAAAATCAACGGACATTGAAAATTGTGCCGTTAATGATATAGGTGTGTATTCGTGGGTAATTAGGGTCTGTTTGGTACACGAAATTGATGAAATTGGAATTGAATTCATAGTTGATATTTAATTGAATTGATTTGGATGTAATTAAATCCTCTAATTCCAATTCATTTTTGGCACTATCAATTTCAAATCCATATATTTTTGTGTTACCAACAACGGAAATTGGAATTATTGTTTCCAATTCCATAATTTGAATCTCGTGTACCAAACGGAGCCTTAATCTATTTTAATGTGGTTACATATTTTTGCCTATTAAAAACTTTGGAGTCTCTTCTCTCTTGGTTGAATTAGACATCACATACGTATAGGCACAACAGAGAGGGAGAAGAGCTCTTGAATTGCTACCAATTTTCCGGCAATCTCCTTCAATTTATTGGTCAATATCGCTCTCACGTCATTTTTGTTCGTTGGTGTGTGGTTGGTTTGTACAACTACCCCACACGATAGCGGTTTATTATAGGAGGTGTTCACGTTCTCCAATAGAGTAGGCATGCACTATTACCTTAAGGACAGTTACGGTGACTCCATTGTCCTTCGTGTCATTTTTGTTTCAGGCCAGTGTCCTTACCTGGATTCTATTTCTAGCCACATTGTTCTCGCTGGTTTATCATTTTAGCGACAGAGTTCTCGCTGCTGCCACAAAGACATTACCGCTATTCGCTGCACATTGTATCCTCATCCTGATTCGCTGCTTCAATCCGGTATGTTTTGTCCTTGTAGTCCATTGCATAACATCCTCACTGTCCAGTGCATATTATCCACATTCAGCAAGAACTTTTGAAGATCTAGAAACTATTTATCCAGTTTAGTTATTCCAAATTTTTGAAATAAATTATAACTTCAAAATTCTATTTATTTATTTTCTCTTCTGGGGCAGTTCATCAGTTCCTCGTTAGTTTCAAACGTACGATCACATTTGTACAGTTTATACTTCCGTAAAATAAAGAGTTAAAAGACTAGAGCCGGGTTACAACCGGTTTTAGTTTTGAAACTGGTACAAAATCAAGAGTTGATTCCAAGAAACACATATATAATATGGTTGATGAATGACTCCCAGAAATACAAATATATGAACGATCACATATTCACATTCACCTTACTTTACAACGGGAGGCTGGGCCAACTGTTGCAGTTGGTGTACAATGTATGACATTCTGGGGCGCATGGACGGGACGTGCTGCGTGCAGGAGTAAACAAGGTCTACTACTTTCTGAACTGCCGCGACATCTGGGACCGGCGAAGATATGTGAGGGTCCACAAGATCCATGTAGCGATGGGCCTGGACCAGAGGGGTGGACCACTCGAATATGCTCTGCCAACCCACAGAATCAACCGGTTGGGCTGGCCTGCGTCCGCTTATAATTTCAAGCAGGAGCACGCCGAAGCTATAGACATCGCTCTTTGTTGTAAGCTCGTTTTTGTAGACGAACTCCGGAGCAAGGTACCCGTGGGTCCCACCTGCCATGACCCTCCTCTCTTGCATCACTTCCCATGGGACAAACTTGGAGAGGCCGACGCCCATGAGATGAGCCCCAAAGTCTTCATCCAGGAGGACATTGCTCGCACGGATATCCCTGTGAACTACTTGGGGCTTCACCTTGTCATGGAGAAACCTATCACAATTGACAATGTATATAGGAACAAACCACAATGAGTTAGACAAGTATGTAAAAATGACAGTGCTTATATCAGGGAAACTAGATTGGTTTTGTTGCAACATAGTTGGAGATAGTTATTTGACTCATTTCTGTTAAATTGGGCCCAACCCGTCACGATAGATCTTCACACTTGTCTACTAGTCTCAAACCTAGTGGATAACCAATGTAGCAACAGTTCCAGAAAACAAGGAAGGAGACATTGAACAAAGGGCAAGAATTCTCTCCACTACATAGACCATCCACTGAATTACTTGTGATTGGAATAAAAATGATAAAATGACATCTTTTTTCAGTATTTGGAGTGAGGCAATGTGACTTCTCTTTTCAACCACAAATACAACAGTGCACAGCCGAGTTGATTGCAACTGAGAGAAATCATTGCCCTTGAACTGAAAACTCACTTGGCAGTAGTACCAGCTATCTTATATTCCCTCCGTCCCAAAAAAAAATCATGTTTCAGCAATGTAAATTTTTTAATTGTAGTAAGGAACAACTCTTGTAAGCCAATCATTCTACTTACAATTTTAAATTTGTTTATTTGCGAAAACCAAATACTCATAGATAATTTCCCAACACTTTAATTTTTTGGGGAAAAAATTACATTTACTTCGATGAAATTTTGTGTTTTGTTTTTGCTGAAATAAGAGCATGCTTGGGAAACCAACATCACACCTGTTTGGTAGTAATTTCAGCTGTTTTTTAGAAAGCCAACATGTTTGGGATGATAGATTATAGGTTTAAAAAACTTTTTCCATGAAATTTCAGTTCGTTTAGTTGATATTATGTAGCTTAAGCTTTGTTACCAGCTTTTTTTCTTTCTTTCAACTGTTTTACTAGCTATTTACCATGGTAATACTTTGTTGCATCCAAGCCAATCACTTTTCAGCAAACTTTACCTAAACATAAACTGATTCTGGTTATAATCGATTATAAAAATAATATAATTTTTAGCAATCCCAAACGCACTCTAAGATGCATTTTGTGACATAAATTTTGAAACAAGACTTCTTTTGGGACGGAATGAGTACATTCGAGCTTTCACCTGAAATGTGTTCTGCTTGGCATATCAGACCCTTAAAAAGGAGAAGAGTACGTACGCAATTCCATGAGCAAGAGTACTGGCAATTTTCATCCTCATGGTCCAGTCCAAGCACCTGCCTCCTCTAGGAATATGGTGTAGCCACTTATCCAAGGGTCCGTTTGCTATAAACTCGTACACTATGTAGCGATCGCCATGATGGTAGCAACACCCTTTGATCACAACAAGATTTGGATGATGAAGTCTTGCTGCCCTTCCAACCTCCGAATAGAACTCCTTTTTTCTCTGAAACCCAGACCTCTTCAACCTTTTCACCGCCACCCTAGATCCATCGGGATAAACCCCACTATAAGTACCACATGTTTTGGCATCCCCAATGAGACGATTTCCTTCACTGAAATTCTTAGTAATTAGTTTTATTTCCTCACGTGTGAAGATTTTCCATGATGGAGGAACTAGTGCTAATTCTGCACGAGATCTTTTGCGCCTTTTACTTCGTTTAAAGATGAGAAACCATACTACAACCACCACAGTGCTAGAGAGAATCAAACCGCTCACAGCAGCAAGAACAATTAGATATTCCGGGTGACACTGCATATGGTGGCACTTTTTCCCTGATATTACCCACATGTAAGAGAGTTTAGTACAAGCGGTCGGCCTTTTTCATAGACTTGCAATTTTAGAATAACAGTTATGCATAGAAGCTTCCAAACTTCCACAAACAATGTTGAATGACAATGATACAGAAATTAGATTTAGAGCTTCTTAAGTACTTCCTCCGTCCCAAAAAAAGACTCCTTATTTCCTTTTTGGGACCTCCCCAAAAAAGTCTCCTCTTTCCTTTTTTGGAAAATTTTGAATGGCTCACAATGTTTCTCTCTCCTCTGCATCACTTTCAACCACACATTTTCACTTTTCTTAACCTTTGTGCCAAGTCAAACTAGAAGTCTTTTTTTGGGACGGAAGGAGTATTTAATGAAGCAATAGATAATAAATACAATGTACCAAAAAAGGGGTTACACTTTACACTACAGTGTAATTATTAATTGCATGCTAGTGCAATTCACATGTTTTATTGGGTGGTGGGGGGATTCATGAAGCTTGTTTGTCAGTAAAATCTTAAGGATAATTGTTCTTTTTAAAGAAATACAAGAGTAAATTAATTTATAATGTAGGCATAACAACAGTGACTTGGTAAGCATGCAAACGAATGTATGGAAGTGCAATTTACAAGAGTTCTTAACAACAACAACAACAACAACAACAACAACCCAGTTAAATCCCACAAGAGTAGGGTCTGGGGAGGGTGTGTGTACGCAGACCTTACCCCTACTCGAAAGTAGAGAGGCTGTTTCCAAAGAGAAAGTAATTTACAAGAGTTCTTATTGAGATGAAATTTGTCACAAACTTTCTGTATCAGCGTTATCTGAAAGATTAATTATTCCTCTTAAGCAAATACAAAGTCACCACAGATGGTAAAGTAAGCATACCAGCATTAAGCATGCAAATGAATGGGTGAAACGTGTTGCACCTCTGAGCTATAAGCATGGAAGTTCTGTTTGTCAGTAACGTACAGAAATCAACTGAGTGAAGGTTGTTGCATGGGAAATTTTGGCAACTTGAGTTGTGAGGCATATTAGGACTGAGACTGTCGTTCCAATTGGATGTACCATCAGACCATTTCCAACCTAAACCACCCGTGTGATTGCCGCTCCTTCCTCCAACCCAGCACTCCTTAGTCACTTCACCACAAAGCTTCTGAAAAAAATTAAGTTCTTCTAGGGATGATATAGCCGCAAGTGTTCCTCCCAAAGATTTGCAGTATGTCTCAGAGTTTTCCCATGAATCTGAGTGTGAGATATATTTGTAACATTTTTTCCCATTTGGGGCACTGAACCAATTGGGATCACATGATTCTGTATGGAAAATAAGTCTTTTTAGCATGAGCTGTGCAAATAGATGAACTACAAACACTCAAATAAGTTTGAATTAAAATGAAGAAACATCACTGTCATCAAAATGGACAACCAAATTAGTTAACTATCTTCGTCCGGATTTCTTTGCCTTCTTCCTTGTGTTGGGGTCTCAAGAATAAAAAGTTATTTAGTAACCATATTTAGTAAAAAATCTGAGAAAAAAACATATAGATAGCATATGGAATCAATGAATAAAAAGTATAGTTAAGGGAATTTTTCGATATTTGACACTAATGCCTTAAAATGAGATGTTTTATAAGGTAGACAACTAAACCTAGATATAGGTTAAGGGAGCATATTCGTTTTCCCAAGATTTTATATCGACATTCCACTCACTTGCATACGCAATGTATCTGTTGTTATAAAGGGCAGCCTGGTGCACAAAGCGTCAAAGGCTCAAAGCCCAACCGGGAACCACAAAGATAATATTGTTGCTAAACTAAATCAAGTTGTCCCAACAAATAGCATTCAAATTTGTAACATTTTCCAAATAGAGTATTAAAGAAACAAAATAAAAGTCAAACCTTCACCATAAGCTGGGTTCTTAGAAGGGTCAGAAACCTGGAAAAGGAAACGCAAAACTGAAATTCATAAACCATGGAAAAGCTGCCTGTAAAAAGCAACATGTTAAACCTACATCTACAAATTGTATCACTGTACTCTAATTTCCACTGCAGAATCAAAGAGAAAAAAGCTGAAGAATGAATGGGTTAGATATGAGCTCACTGAGTAGGAATCTCCGAACAGAAGCAGAAGGCATGAGAATGCGAACGGCAGAGGGCGTAGAAAACAGTTCAGCATTTCGTATGGATTAGGGTTTTCCGATTAAAACTAGAAATTCACATTTCAAAACTCAGTTGTGGGAGCAAGACTTAGGTGGCTCTGCTGACAACTGACGACAAGAGTAATAACTCCCCTGTGAGCCTCGGGCAACCATTTTTGCAAAAAAACTCCGGTGTCTGAGTATATTTTAAAGAAGACCCAAAATTTGTAGACACCGATGGTTTACACTGACACAAAGTTTTGGTCTGTTAACAAAAATTTACACTGACACAAAATGTTGGTGTGTTAACAAAAATTAGCATTACACAAACACAAAATTTAGTGCATCCATGCAGTGTACAAAATGAGGTACAAATCTTTGGGGTACAAATAGCTTCACCCTTTGAAAAAAAGAGAACTTAAGACTTTGACACAAAATTGGGAATTCGGAATCAATTTTAAGAAATAGAGTACTGAATAAGAGTAAAAATAAAGAAAGTATCAATGTTGGCGTGAGATATTGACAAAAGAAGGAGATCGAATCCTTTAAGATTCGATCAACGTATTTTTTCTGCTTATTTCTTATTCTTATAAGAGAGAAACACCAAAATAGGACTAAAACATTGAGAATATACCAAAATAAGATTTTTATGTTTTTATTCTCGAAATGAGACTTAAAATAAATTTACATTACCAAACGTGATCATATACATTACCAAAAAGTATAATAATGTACACATGTACAGTGGCATATTACCACAATGTGAAGTACTATTTCGGGTATAAAAACATGAAAGTCCTATTTTTGCACTTTTCTCTATATTTTAGTCCTATTTAGAGTGATTTCTATTTTTATTAAAATCAGATCACATCAGATCAAAACCAATCAGATCAGATCAGACTAGATCACATCAGACCAAATCTGATCAGATTAGACCAAATCTAAACAAAATTAATAATATTATTATTACTACTATTCCTATTATTACCACTATTATTAGTATTATTATTACTATTTCTATAAATATTATGATTATAATTATCATTTCTATTGTTATTATTATTACTATTAATATTAATAATATTATTATTTTTATTGTTATTATTATTACTATTATTATTATATTTATTATTACTATTATTATTACTATTACTATTATTATTCTTCTTCTTATTAATACTATTATTATTATTATAATTATTACTATTATGATTACTATTACAATTCTTAGTATTGCTATTGTTGTTATAATTATTACTATTATTATTACTACTCATATTATTAATACTATTATTATCATTGTTATTAAAATTATTATTACTATGACTATTATTATTATTATTTATATTATTATTGTTTTTTCTATTATTATTGGTTGTGGGAGCGAGACTTGGGTGGCTCTGCTGACAACTGACAAGAGTAATTACTCCCCTGGGAGCCTCGGGCAACTATTTTTGCAAAAAACTCCGGTGGCTGAGTATATTTTGAAAAAAATGGAACTTAAGACTTCTTACACAAAATTGGGTATCCGGAATCAGTTTTAAGAAATCACACTACTAGATAAGAGTGAAAATAAAGAAAGTATCAATGTTGGCGTGAGATGTTGACAAAAGAAGGAGATCGAATCCTTTAAGATTCGATTTAGGCAGCGTACCGTTAAACTTATTTTTTCTACTTATCACGTATTCTTATTAAAATCAGATCAGATCCAATAAAATCAGATCAAATCTACCAAATGCGATCAGATTAGAAAAGATCTAAACAAAATTATTATTATTATTATTATTATTATTACGATTACTATTATTACCACTATTTTTAGTATTATTATTATTATTACTTTTGCTATTAATATTATGATTATAGTTATTATTATTATTATTACTTTTAATATGAATAATAATATTATTTTTACTATTATTATTATTACTATTATTATTATATTTATTATTACTATTATTATTACTATTACTATTATTATTATTATGATTATTATTATTATTATTATTTATATTATTATTACTATTATCCTACATCTATATACATATGTCTAAGTAGCCCGACATCCCGAGAGGCGATCTATAATACCCTATGATAGTGTCAAATCCTTTAGGACGTAGCATGAGGCTTCATCATGTATTTCATAACTACCCATTGACTGCTCATGGGCAACAACTGTCAGCTAATATGATAGAGCTGCCATACAAGAAGTTTGACATCATCCTTGGTATGGATTGGCTGACCGAGCACCAAACTATAATTCACTATGGACTACGCACCGTACTAAAGGCCAACACTGGTGGAGTCGTGGAAGTTAAGGGGGAATTGCTTCCTAAACCGCCAGAGTTTGTTTCCTTCATGCAAGCCAGATGCCCCATTCGCAAGAAATGCGAAGCTTTCTTTTGAAATGTTCGTGACACAAGAAAGGAAAACCCTAACCTGAATGATATTTTTACTGTGTGTGAGTACCTTGACGTATTTTTTGACGATCTCCCTGCCTTGCCACTACCGAGAGAGGTGGAATCATCTATTGATCAAGTTCCAAGAACGAAACCTATCTCTATGACCCCTTACTACATGGCACCCGTGGAAATGAAAGAGCAAAAGGCTTAACTCCACGAGTTACTCGATAAGGGATTTATTAGACCAAGTGTGTTCTAGTAGAGAGCACCAATTCTCAATGTTCGATAGAAATATGGTTCTATGAGACTTTGGTTCGACTACATACAACTGAACAAGGTAGCCATAAAGAATCTGAATCCCTTGCTGCATATTGATACGATGATTTAATTTGTTTGACCAGCTTAGAAAAGCAATTGTGTTCTCTAAAATCAATCTTTGATCGGAATATCATAAGATCCTAGTTAAGAAGGAAGACATTCTGAAGACTATTTTTCATACACGCTATGAACACTATGAGTTAACCGTAATGCTGCTTGGGTTGACTAATGCCCCGACGACATTTAAAAACCTGATGAACAACGTCTTCCTCCTCTACTTGGATAAGTTCGTTGTGGCTTTCAATATTGATGACATTCTAGTGTATTCTAAGACACAAGAGGATCATGCTAAACATCTACAGATAATACTTGGAGTGTCGAGAGAGCACAAACTATATGCTAAATTATCAAAGTGTAAATTTTGGCCCAATGAAGTCACATTTTTGGGACACGTGATTTCCAAGGAGGGTATCAAGAGAGACCCCACCAACATTTCAACGATCACAAAGTGGAAGGCTCCGAGGAATGCACAAGAAGTGAGGAGCTTTCTCGGCTTAGCTAGATATTACCAGCACTTCGTAGAAGGTTTCTCCTCTATTACATGTCTATTGAATAAACTCATTAAGAAAGACGTCAAGTTTGTATGGACTGATGCTTGCCAGCAAAGCTTAGAACGACTAAATAAGTGGCTGACCAAGGCACTGATGTTGGTATAACCCGTGGCCGGTGTAGACTACATAGTTTTTCAGCAACACATCTCACATTGGACTTGGTTATGTACTTATGCAGGAGGGTAGGGCCGTAGCCTACACCTCCAGACAGTCAAAACAAAGAGAGGGTAATTACCCCACACATGATCTCGAGTTAACAACAATAGTCTTTGCCTCGAGGATCAAGCAACACTATCTCTTTGGAGAGATGACTCACATACATACAAACCACAAGAGTTTGAAATATTTACTTACTTAGAAAGAGCTAAACTTGAGATAGAGAAGATGGTTAGAGCCGATCAAGGATTATGATTTCGACACTCACTACTATCCAGGAAAGGCCAATATGGTGCCGGCCCAACCTGTAATAAATGAGTGCCTCGTTCGAATTTTATGTTCAATTCGCGGCCTGTCCTGTCTTGAACTAATAATACTAGCAATAATAATTATAGTACAAAAAGTAATAAGAATCATAATAAAAATAATAATCATAATAATAATAATAATAATAATAATAATTGCTATGATATAAACACACATGCATAATTTAAAGAAGAAAAGAGAACAATAAATTTATTTACTCAATGAATATATTTTGTCATTTCTCATAAAAAGTAATAATGATTTTAGAAAATAGCAATCATACAACCCAAACACGTTGCATATATTATCCATTCCTTTAATTTGATAGTGTATTCATCCTAACTTTAAAAATAAGATATCATTTTATTTTAAAAATATCCTTCAATTGCAAATTATACCGTACATCCGGTTGTACGGGAAGAACCGTACAGCAGGCAATTAGTTAGGGCGAACGGAGGAACTGCTACAAGAACAGCCGAATGGATCGGCCATGAAGGAGGCTGCGCGATGGGACTCGTTGGATTCCCGATCGGTGATTTGCCGATGAAGTTCCAATCGGCGATTAAATGATGAAGATGGAGGTTGTTTGGAAGTCCGATCGGCGATTGGAGGACGAAGGTCTGATCAACGATCTGAACGCTGCTTGGATATGCGAAGATCTGATCAATTCTGCTTCCAGTTGCTCGCGATGGTCTTCCGCTTCCTAGAGATCTTTTCTTCCACTTACCAGATTTCAACGACATATGAATGGTAAGTTGTTAAAGATTGAGTACTAGGTTATATGGGAATGAGTACTACTAGGTTTTAGAATGAATATTATGTTATTCGTAAATGAATATTGAACAAATTTGTAAAAATGAGTACGCCGTTATTTCTGAATGAGTACTGAGTTATTTCAAAATGATTACCACATTTTTCAAATGAACCATTATGCTTATGCGAGAATGAATACTACTTTACTTCGAAATGAGTACTACATGGATGTACCTATCTCTAGGTACATCTGGATGTACCATATACACTCTCTCCCTTCAATGGTTTAAAACTTAGAGCCATGCGAGGGCCGGCTAGCTAGGGGTACAATTTATTCAAAAAATTAGAGTAAATTCCATAAAAGGTCCTCATTTATATGTCATTTTACATATTTAGTCCCTACATATCAAATATTACTAATTTAGTCCCCAATTATTATATCATTTTTCACGAATGATCCCTTGTTAACGTTTTTGTTAAGAACATGGATAAAATTGTGTATTCATACTTCTCTCTCCTCAATTAAGCTTCCTTCATCCTCTCGTACTCTTTCTCAAGCTCGTCGCTGGGTTTGAAGCTCTAAACCCAAAACTTAAATGATCATTCCTTTCTCAATTATTGGTCTTCCTGGTGGAATCTAAAATCAAAACCAATAAGCTTTATGGATGATTTTATCGGTTAGTCT